GCTGGGGGACCCCCGAGGCCAGTCTGGGCGGGCCCTGTGTCACTGCTGAGGTGTCTCCATGAGTGTCCCTCTTGTCCCCCCCCAGCTGGCCGTGGCCCAGGGCTTTGGGGGGCCGCAGGGCCCCGAAAAGGCCGCCTGGCTCCGCTCAGCCCTGCTCGATTTCTTCACCCAGAACGGTGGGTGCCGCCCCTCCCCCACCCCGGGGGGGGGCGGGAAGGGCCCGGGGAGGGGGGCAGGGACAGGGATGACCCCTCTCTGTGTCCCTCTCAGCTGACCTGGAGCAGGAGGAGGTGGAGGATTTCCTGGCCGAGGTGATGGACAACGAGTTTGACACCGTGGTGGAGGATGGCAGCCTGGAGCAGGTGGGACCAGTACGGACCAGCATGGGCCAGTACAGCCCAGCAGCTGCCCAGCACCCTCCCAGGTGCTCCCAGTACAGCCCAGTTCATCCCCAGGCTCCTGCCACCATCCCTTCCAGTACCTTTCCAGTATAGACCAGTACTCTCCCAGTGCTCTGTTTCTCCCTCCTGGTGCCCCCTGATGCTTTCCACTGTGTCCCCAGTAACTCTCCCGGTGGGTCCCAGTCCATCCCAGTGTCCCTGTTGCAGGTGAGCCGGGAGCTGCTGACGTTGTTCTCTCGGGCGCGGGGGGGGGACACGGTGGGGGTGGGGGCAGCCCTGGGGGCTCTGGCCCAAAGGGGCCCCGCCCTGGCCACCGTCCTGGCCACGGCCCGGCCCGGGGGGGACCCCCAGAGCCCCCCCGGGACCCCCCCGAGCTCCCCTGGGACCCCCCACAGCCCCCCCGGGACACCCCCTGGCCACGAGGAGGAGGAAGAGGAAGAGGTGAGGGGGGTGTGATGTCAGGGGTGATGATGTCATGGATGGGGACTCTGATGATGTCACGGATGGGGGGGATGCCCAAGATTGGGGGAGAGGGGCTGGGACCCCTTGCTTTGGGGGGGTAGTGGGCAGTTGTGACATCATCAGGTTGCAGAGGCGTTACTGATGATGTCATCAAAGTGGGCAGTGGTGACATCATCAGGTTGGGGAGATGTTACTGCTGATGTTATCAAAGTGGGTGGGGACTGGGATGGACTGGGATATATTGGGAGGGGGCTGGAGGGGAGGCAGGGAATTGGGAGGGCACTGGGATATACTGGGAGGGGCTGGTTAAAGCAGGGGACTGGTTTAACGGGGGGGGCAGTGATGACATCACTGGTTACATCATCGGGGTCCCACTGATGACATCATTGCCCTGCAGGCGATGGAGTGCGGGACCCCCCCGGCCCCCCCCGACGGCTGGACCCTCGTGCAGCGGCGGCGCCGGCGATGAGGGGGGGGAGGGGTGTCGTGTGTGTAAACCCCCCCCAAATTGGGGGACACCCCTCCCCCACCCTGCTCCCCAAACTGGGGGGGAATAAAGGCCCCTCCCCCCACAAGGGGGCGTGGGAAGAGGCGTAGTGTGGTTATTGGGGGGAGGGACCCCATAGAGACCCCCTGGGACCCAGTAAACACCGTTGGAGCGCACAGAGACCCCTCCCAGTATAACCCAGTGTAACCCAGTGCCCTCAGACCCACACGCCCAGCACGGCCATCACTGTCTCGTCTCCACAGCAACGAAGGGGCGGGGCTTCCTCCCTGCGGGCGGCGATTGGCTGACACTTTGTGGGGCGGGGCCAAGTAGCGAATTGCTGGGACGGTGATTGGTCGGTGAGGAGGCTGGCGGGCCGTCATTGGTCGGTTAGGACAGGGCGCGGGCGCTGATTGGCCGCTTTTGTCCGGGTGGGCGGGGCGAGGCGGGAGCGCGGGAAGGCGCGGCGGCGATGGCGGCGCGACTGGAGCGCGCGGGGGGGTGAGCGCGAGACCCCCCCCCCCCCCCAATGGCGGGAACCCCTGAGGGGACCCCGCCGCCATCTTGGAACGGGGAGCAGCTGGGGGGCGCCGAGGGGTCACCGGGGCCTCACGGGGGTCCCTGAGGCGTCAGCGGGGACCACTGGGGTACCTGGGAGGTCCCTCCCCGTCCCCACGAGGGTCCCTGAAGGGTCACTGGATCCTCACGGGGGTCCCTGAGCGGGTCCCTGGGATGTCCCCCTCGATCCTCATAGAGGTCTCTGAGGAGTCACCAGGTCCCATTGGGGTCCCTGTGATGGCCCCCACCCCGATCCACACGGGGATCTTTGAGGGGTTCCTGGGTATGTCCCCCGCATGCCCACGGGTGACCCCCTGGGTGTCCTTGGGGGTCGCTGGATGTGTCCCCCCCATGCCCACGGGTGTCCCGTCCACCCCGCGGTGTCCCCAGGGTGCTGACGGCCCTTGAGGCCGCCCTGGCCTTGGAGGAGGAGGATGGGGATGTCCCGGCCCCGGTCCTGGTGGAGCATCAAATGGTGAGACCCTCGGCCCCTCCATACCCACCCCCAGCACCACATTCCCCCTTCAGCACCCACTTCCCCCCCAAGCTGTTCTTGGCTTCCCTGTTTACCCCCCAAACCTCCCCTGGATGCCCCCCCCCAAATTCTCACAGCTCCCTCATTTAGCCCCAAATCTCCCTGTGACCCCTAAATTTATCTCTCTCTGTCTCCCTCCACATTTATCCCCCAAACCTTCCCTGAATCCCCCATTTGTTGACCCCCTCTTTGGCCCTCTTATTTTCCTCAAATGCTCCCAATTATCCCCCCAAATCTCTCTTCTGCCCCATTTTTACCCTCATTCCCCCACCCCTGACCCCCCACACCTCCCCAGGACACCCGTCGGAAGCAGAAGCTGCTCCTGTCCCAGCTCCGGGTGCTGCGGCTGCTCCTGGGGGTCATCGAGAACCCGGGGCTGCCCCCGGCCCCCGCCGGCCTCCGTGAGCACCCCAAAACCCCTGACCCCCCCCTCAACTGAACACAGGGCCTCTGTAAGCCCCCCAAAACCCCTGACCCCCCCCAAAATGAACCCAGGGCCTGCATGAGCCCCCTGACCCCTCATGAACCCCCAAACTGAGCCCAGGGCCTGCATGAACCTCCCTGATCCTTCCAAACTGAGCCCATGGCGTGTGTGAGCCCCCCAAACCCCCCTGACCCCAAAAAACTGGGGTTCCCCTGACCCCCCCAAATCACCTGACCCTTCCCCCCTGAGCCCCAAAAACCCCTTGGTCTCCCCGATCTTTCCTGGGAGGACTGAGAGAGCCAAAATGAGGGGTCTGGGATGGGGTTTGGGGTTTCTTGGACACCCAGGTCCCATTTGAGGGTTCCCAGGTCCCATTTGGGGATTCCTAGGTTCCTTTTGGGGGTGTTTGGGGTCCCCAATCAGGGGTCTGACAGGTGCCCCCCCAGGTGAGGCTGCAGCCCGAGCCCGGGGCCGTTGGCAGGAGCTCAAGTCGGGGTACGGGGGGGCCCTGGGAGCCCTGGGGGGGGCTGTGCCCCCCACCCTGGCCCAGCTGGAGAAGGGGCAGCAGCTGCTGCAGCGACTCAGGGGGGTCCTGGGGGCCCGGACCCA